TCCCTTGTTAGATCTTTCCAAAGAATTCACCTTAGTTTTCACAGGAAAAATAACTTCTTTTCATACTTTGTATATCATTGGCTTATATGGTGTTCACTAAGTTTTGTCATCAGAATAATAAATTCAAATGGCATAAGCAGGTTTGAGAATAAACCCGAGTGACTCTTGGAAGGCACAAACTTAACTGATAGCAACAGAAATATGTACATGTACTAGAGAATGGTCTCTTAGCCTTGGGAGTTCAGCCTAACAGGTAAGCATGTTCTCCAGAAGGCATCTGGAAAGCAGGTTAATTCGAGTTCCATCAGGGAGCTTCTGCTATAGGGGATTTCTTTCCTTTCAGGCTCACAGTGCTTTTTGCTTTCAGTTCCCCATTGCAACCTCCTGCAAAGACCTGTGGTACTAAGAAATTTCATCTCTTTTTCCCTCTATCATTCCCATATCTAATTTATCATGATTCTAAACCTCTCAAGTGGTCAGGGTTGAGCATTTATCACTTACAAAGTAATTAAAATATTAAGACGTTAGTAACTCATTTTATTGCACAGTAATTTTTATTTATTATATGGCATTATAATTACTTCATTTAAACTTCCTTGCTATGAATCCTATTCAGACAAGGAATAGAAAACATTTACTGCAAAGGGTCACACAGTAAATATTTTAGACTTTGCAGGTCTCTGTTCCATACTCTTCTTTGTTTTTTGTTGTCTCATACAAAAACAGGCCACTTACCACATTTGGGACATAGTTTACCTACCCTCGCTATAATACAAGGTAGAAAAGGCAATTTTGTGCCTCTCTTACAGATATCTAATAAATACTTATAGCAACTAACATTTACTTTTGAAAGCTTACACTGTGCCAGGTACTAAGCTAAGTGCTTTGTGTACATTATCTGTCAATCCTCACAGCCGTCCTATGCTATTTTTATCTATTATTATTCTTTTTACAGATAAAGAAATTGAGACTTAGATTAAGTAACTTCCCAACAATTAGGAAGTGGTGGAATCATAATATAAACCCAGAAAGACTGACTTCTGAATTGCTAAACCATATCGCTTCAGAAAAAGCTTTCAGGTAATGTACCCAAGGATATATAGACAATTGCTGGCATGGCCCAGACTAGAACATTGACCTCATGACTCAGTGCTGATTTACTAAATATTCAGAGAAATCTACATTTTTAAAGGGAGATTTGACAACACCTTAACCCAATTAACAATGTCTAATGATATATTATCAGGCACTGATAAGACAGGTATTTTGGAAGAGATACCAGATCGTGAGTGTCAGGAAGCTAAAATTAGGAATCACTGCCCTGCTTTTTCGATAAGGCAGCATAAGAGAATCTTAATTATGGAACACAGAAGTGGAGAAGTGCAACAAATAAATTATATTAAAAATGTAATAGATTCAATTTCTCTTATAAAACATTAAAATAATGAATCACACTATGAAATGGGAGGTCAGCAACAAAGTGGGTCAAGTAGGTCCTTGGAGGTAGACTGAAGGGGACAGGAGGAAATTACAAGGAGAAACAAATGCACACTATCCAGATGGTATTCATATGGTAACTGAGAGCAATTCAGGCAGGAATGTAACGTTACAGAAGTTCACAACAAGGGATAATGTATAGCAGCATCCCAGGATATATTATTCAGAAAAGTAGTAATATAAATAATAGAATCCATGGAGGCTAATGTGTCCTCTTTTTATTATAACCCCTGCTTTCCCCAATTAAAAGAGCTCTCTTCATTTCTGCTTTGAGCAGAAGTGTTAGAGATAAACAAGGATAAAGATGGAGAGGGGTGGAAAAAGTATGCTTTGGAGAGGGAAAGAACTGTATAGAGGAAGAAGAACAGAATAGATGTGGCCTCCCCCAAAGGACTACTGCTATCCCATCCCTCCTTGAATTGGGGGAAAATGTAAGCAATTCAAACCATGTTTCTCTGCTTGCCCCACATAAGTAATGGGCATAGCAGCTGTTGCTACCACCTATACCAAAGCTTGTATCAAAGGCCTGTTCACCTGGATATGATGATGATGATAGCAAATACACATAATACTTACTATGTGCCAGGTACTGTTTGAAGTACTTTAAATGTAATAAGTGGAGTTATACATCACTTAACGACAGGGATACATTCTGAGAAATACATTATTAGGTGATTTCATCTTATGCAAACATCATAAAGTATACTTACACAAACCTTAGATGGTATACCTAGGCTATAAGGTATAGCCTATTGCTCCCAGGCTATAAACCTATACAGCACATCACTGTACTGAATATTGTGGCAACTGTAACACATTGGTATTTGCATATCTAAACATATCTAAATATAGAAAAAATAATGGGTTGTGCTATGATGTTATGACAGTTACAATGCCACTAGGTGACAGGAATTTTTCAGCTCCATTATAATCTTATGGGACCACCATCCTGTACGCAGTTTGTCATTGACCAAAACACAGTTATGGGGTGCATGACTGTAATTTAATCCTCACAATTGCCCTATTAGACGGGTACCATTATAATCCCCATCTTTGATGAAAATGCTAAAGCACAGAATGAGTGGTTAAATGATTTACACAAATTCACACAGCTAATAATGGTGGAGCTAGAATTAAAACCCAGGCAGACTGACTCCACAGTCCATATACTCTCAACCACTTTGTTAAAAATGACTTCTTTGGCTTAGCTGTGCCACCACAAGCAAGAGACTGGCATCAGACTGTCTTTCAGCATATAAAGTACTCCAGGCAGAGGATCACAGGAAAGAATGGACAGAAAAATTAGAGACAATCTTTGAAGAACTCTGTTTTTGGGGATGTTTTTGAGGAAGGGACTTGATCATGAGAGAAAGATTAACTCAACAGAATACCATATCAATATGAACATACCGAACTAGCAATCTAAATTTTTAAATGTTGAGACCTAAACTGAATATAATTCTGATCATAAATCTCGGTCCTTGTAAATACTTACATTGATCTTTCAATATATGAGTACATATAATTAAAAAAACTAAAGCAGCCATGCTACAAATGGATTTTTAGCCACATCACTAGAAGAAATGCTGACAATGATCATCTAGAACAAGAAGCAACTTAGAAAGTTCCGACGTTGGGCTTTAGATGAATATGTGAGCTTTACATAAATATGTGTTTTCTGAACTACTGACATAATATTCCTTGAACTACATAATAAAATTAGTAAGAACCAAACAGAGAGATGTTTGAGTTTGGACTAGGAAGGTCCATGATTTAGAATTTGCTATTCTAACTCACATAAAGGCAACAAAATGGGAAAACGTAAGTCAGATCCTGAAACATATCCTCATGTTTCTAGTTAATATAAATTTCTTTTTTATTGCTAGGTGAACAAAACAAACCAGAAATGTGAGCGAGAGCTGTCCTGGAATACAAACCTAATATTCTAGATCCAGCTCCTAAAACAGAGTCCTATTAGTCCACTGTCAAGCAGCACACAGGGAGAGGCCAAATACAGACACTGTTTGAGGCCACATTGCAAATGGTCCCAGGGTCGTGCCTTCCCTGTATGAGAGCAATAGCTTTAGGGTTCTATAAGTAGAACTTTGGTAGGATGCCCATATGATCTCATGAAAAACCTGGACACAAAATAAAACAAAATTAAATTAATTTTTAAAATAAACTTGGGTTGGCCAAAAAAAAAAAAGAAGGAAGGAAGGATGGATGGAAGGAAGAAAGGAGAAAAAGAAAGAAAAAAGGAAGGAAGGAAGAATGGAAAATAAAGGCAGGTAGACACATACCATGCTTTAGGAGATATATACCCACAATATGGAAAATGTAAGAATCTGTAGTACATCCAGAATTTTACTATACTTAATGTAAATTTCATAAGAATTAGGAATTTGTATAGTTACATTTACAAAGTATATGCTCCCAGAGAGAAAAGTTTCAAATTTTGAATAGTAAACAGTCTGGTTCAAACTGGCAATCCTAGGGCTTGGCAATGTACTACTGTCAACTAACTAGTAAAACTAGTGTGATATCTGACAGTACAAATATCACCACTATTTGGCTTGGAGAATTCCTGTAATCTACACCTACTGCTAATTTCATTAAGGGCTATCCACCCTGCAACCTAGAAGATAGCTTCTTGCCACTGCAACTAGCCTGGTTCTTTCTCCTGAGGAATACCAGAATAAATTATCAACATTCTATTTGAAACTCAAAAAGAGGGAAGAAGAACTTTCTGGGTTTGTCAGTTTTCTGGTTCTGTTGCTAGTCCATAGTGAGGCCTTGCTGTAATTCTTTCCCATGAGTTCCAAAAGATAATATGTATTTCTTGTTAAAATTTTTTCTTAATTTAAGCAGATTTTAGTTGCATGCAATCAAAAGAGCCTGACCAAAACAGGCAGCAGGCTTTAATTTGAAATCTAAAAGTCTAGAATGTCTAAGCAACCCGACATTGAAGCAGAACAATGGTTTTTAAAAAGTACGTTGAAATATTCAACCTCCTAATCAATGCTATTCATGAGTATCATCTATTTTGAATCACAGATTTTTAAGCCAAAATGCATTCAGAGAAAAATACATGTCATTCATGTAGAAATAATACTTCAATAGTATAATGCCTATAAAATTAAAAACTGCATTTAACTACATTTTCTATGACAGTGGCTTTCAAATCTATTTTAGGTAGCAGAACATTTTCTTCTAATGAAATCTTAGGTTCATATCCAATGCAAAGCATAGATGAGAGGAGATCTGCTCTGGCTTGAAACATGTACACTCACATGTCTGGGTGGACCCATGTATGCATGTGTGAGCCTGCAGGCAGCAAACCATGCCTGATGGCCAACCTCTTCCCCTGCCAGAGACTCCTTGAGAAATCATTATGGAACCCCTGTGGCCTACGTGAATCAGAGCTTGAAAATAACTGTGTTAAAAAAAAAAAGTAATACACTGCATTACAACCAAGAAACCAAATCAATCACATGTCTATTTACCTGTGAGCTTTAAAACATTTTCCATCAACAAAAATATCAATATCTGGGCAACAAGGTTTCATATAAAGCTTCAATAAATCTTCTCCTAATTCAGATGCAGGTTCCAATTCATAGTTATCTTTAAAAAAAAAGATTAAAAAATGGTTTAATATTATAAACATCCAGAAGTTTTGTTTTCTATTATTAGCAAGAGGTTTTTCCACATAATTACCTGTTTGCTAGAATATTTAAGCAGTAGATTCAAAATAAAACAAAAAATTTAAAATCATCTATACTTTCTGCTTTGAAATGTATATATTTCCACCTACATTCAAATATATAGTCATGTCTCACTTAAGGATGGGGATACATTCTGAGAAATGTGCTGGTAGGTGATTTTGTCATTGTGCAAATGTCGTAGAGTGTACTTACATAAACCTAGATGGCAGAGCCTACTACACACCTAGGTTATAGGGGCTAGCCTATTGTGCTTAGGCTACAAACCTGTACAGCATGTTACTGTACTCAATACTGTTGGCAACTGTATCACAGTGGTATTTGTGTATCTAAACATACCTAAACAAAGAAAAGTTACAGTAAAAATGCACTATTATAATCTTATGGGACCACCATCAAAATGTCCATCATTAACCAAAATGTCATTATGCAGTACATGATTATATGCATTTAGGTATGGATACACATTTAAAAATAAGTAATATCATCACAAAATTATACACCAAAATGAAGTCACTTCATGAAAATCTGAATTAGAAACTTAAAAATTTTCCCAATTTTAATATTCTTTTCCATTACTTAATTCCTTCCTATTCCATACTTTATGAGTATATGACCAGGATAAGAGTGAACTGATAGAAATTCAGCTGAAACCAATGGGTATTACTAGAGCACTTCCTATGAGTTTAGTACTGTACACAGTATGGAGAGGTATCAAAAAAGAATATTTTTGAAAAACCATCTCTATTTCAAGAGATTCACCATTTAGGTAGTAGGAAATGGAATATAAGACATGTATACATAAAAAAATACTACACTGTATATCACAGCTCATAGGTGATATATATCGCTATATATCAAAGTACATATAAAAGAGAAAAATACTACACTATGTTAAATTAAATTTGATCTGAGGTTGTCTCCATACTTTGAGTTCCTATGTAATGAACTGCAACCTAATTTGGTATGTAAATGAACCAAAACTTAACCTAACTTTGCAGTATATATTTTTGGTAATGGTTAGCCAGATCTCAGCCAATCACAAGCAGCCAAGTTTCAGCCAGTCACAGGCAGCCAAATGATCACACCATGTCCAAATAAGGCAAACACCTAGCTGTAATCAATGAAGCTATTTCTGTACTGTACTTCTAATTCTGTCTATAAATATTCACTGCCAACATTGTATAATAGAGCTCTCTGAACCTCTTCTGTTTCTGAGTGCTGTATGATCCATAAATCATTTTTTGCTCAAACTCAGTTAAATTTATTTGTCTAAAGTTTTTCTTTTACCAAAGCTAGTGTTAGAAGGAGGATCAAAAGGAGACCCTCAATAATAACCTCTGGAAGCAATGCATTAACAGGTGTAGGTACCCTGCATTCACTGCTTCTTGCTGAGCATTTGGAGGTCACCACCGGTAAATCCCTCTTAGTCACAAGCTTCACAATTTGTGTCGAGTTCTTCCAGTTTGAACATTTTTTATCCAGGCTGGGTTGAGAAGTCACCACAGAAATTGGACTGAGTCCAATAGGGAGGCCTCCAGTAGGTAAGGTTATGAGAAGACAGGGAATAATGGGTTCATCTGAATCCAAGAAGACTGGGACTCTTCCATTTTGAAAACTGTCCTTTTCTAGAGAAATGGCTAAAGCTTACCAAAATAATTTAGACTTTTGGTGGCCACAGTGGGGAAGTTTTAACCTAAACAAAATTGCTCATCTATGGGGCGCACTGAAAAACAGAAAAGAGATCCCAAACAGCTCAGAAACAATGGGATATATTATTGATTGGTACGAAGAGGCTTCTAAAAGACTAAATGAATCAAAAATTGCCTCTCTAAAAGATTCTTTTATCAACCTAAGTGCCCACAAACTGATGAATGGATAAAGAAAATGTAGTACATACATATATATACACCATAGAGTACTACTCAGCCATGGAAAGGAATGAAATAATGTCATTTGCAGCAACTTGAATAGAACTGGAGAACAGGCCGGGCACGGTGGCTCACGCCTGTAATCCTAGCACTCTGGGAGGCCGAGGCGGGTGGATTGTTTGAGCTCAGGAGTTCGAGACCAGCCTGAGCAAGAGCGAGACCCCGTCTCTACTAAAAATAGAAATAAATTAATCGGACAACTAAAAATATATAGAAAAAATTAGCCGGGCATGGTGGCACATGCCTGTAGTCCCAGCTACTTGGGAGGCTGAGGCAGAAGGATCACTTGAGCCCAGGAGTTTGAGGTTGCTGTGAGCTAAGCTGATGCCACAGCACTCACTCTAGCCCGGGCAACAAAAGCGAGACTGTTTCAAAAAAAAAAAAAAAAAGAACTGGAGAACATTAACCTATGTGAAGTATCTCAGGAATGGGAAAACAAACACCACGTTCTTGCTATAAGTGGGAGCTAAATGATGTGTACACACAGTCATATCATGGTGTAAAGGACATTGGAAACTAAGAAGGGGGGAGATTGGGAGCAGAATGAGGGATAAAAACTTACCTATCTGGTATATGTATACTATTCGGGTGACAGGCACACTAAAATCCCTGACTTCAGCATTATACAAGTCATCCATGTAATAAGAATACTTGTACCCCCTAATATTTTGAAATAAAATTTATTTTAAAAATTAAAAGATTCCTTTAAAAAGGCAAATGAAAAACTTAAACAACTAACTGATGAAAAAGGAAAAAAATTGTACTTTGACTGACTTAACTCTGACTTCGTCTCTCTATCCTCTTCTGTCTACTCTGAATCTACTGACTTTTTCATTAGTTACATTCCTACTCTGAATATAAAAAAGAAATCTAGACAAATACCTTAGAAAGTTAGGCCCTCAGATCATCCAGCTCTGCTTCTTTAACCACCTTTATGCCACGGTCAAAATCTTGAGTTCAGAGTAATAGTGAAAGGTTTCCCTGCCCCAAAGAACCCCGCCACCCCGCCCCGGGAAATTTACTGAGGAATTTAGAGTTCTCATTGGAGGATATGATCCAGGACCCTTGATCTTTACCAATTTATTCACATGATACTGGGACCTGGTGAATCCTGTAAATGGATAGCTGAAGCCAAATGGGAGGTACCTCAGAAAGGTATCAAAGATCTAGCCACTCAATCTTTCAGGGATGGACCAAAAAAAGGACTAGGAAAATAGCAAATGATCTCTTAGAAATATAAAAGTCGATCATCTGAATTGGGTCACTCTTACCACACTCAACCAAATCAGAGTAGAGAGGCTAAGAGAAAAAGCACTCAGGGTATACAACATTGCTCCAGAAATATGATTCTCTGTAAGTCCAACTGCTGAAACTGTTTGTTGTAACTTGAGAACAGTTTTATCTACAGTTGCTGAAACAACTTGCTGCAACTCTAGGATTAATTTTGCCCACCACCATTGCTCACCAATCAGAGCTCGCCAGCTCCCCAAAGCTTTACTAATACCAATGAACTTTCTCTCTAGACCACATATAACCTTTTTAAATAAGACCTCCAATCTTCTCTTTGTTTTTTGGACATACTGAAGACTACTCAGGTCTGTGTGTATGCCCTGAATTGCAATTCTTTCTTCCCACATAAAACATTAAATTTAGAGATTCATCTCTATTTTTACTTTGACTTCAACAAATCCATCCCCAAAGTATTTCCTCAAAAAAAATCCTGACTGGTCTGTCATTCAATCTTGTAAACAGAATAAGCATAAACCAGTTTCTGACTATAAGGTGTGAACTAAAAATAAAATTCTAATACCTCCTGTCTCCCCACCCCCACCCCTGCTGACTGAACAGACCCCTCTCAGCCAAGGGGACCCAAGAGAAACCTTAAAACTGAGTTCCCAGCCATGACAGGATGGGGGTGGTGGATCAGATACACATCATTTTACACCTCTCTTGCTAACAGCCACCAGGCTTTATTTCCTAAGTGCCAGACCAGCACTCTTTCAAGAGAAAAGACCACACCAACCATGACGTGGTTTTAACAGTCTACAGAACATGTGAAGAAAGGGTTTCCATGTCCTTGTTTCACCTTTTTGACATAGAGGGCAGCCATCTTGAAACATGGACTCCATTAAAGGACAGAAAGTCCCATTGCATAGGCACACAGTTCTTGTTTCATAAATATTCATGACTCCTCCCATAGCTTGTTAAATACGTGTATTTAGCTACCCTGCTCAATATGAAATCCTGTTTTCTTTGTCTCTCCCTTGAAGCACATGCTCCTGGCTCGTGGCCAGCCTGTTTGCCAACCTGCAGGAATGGTCACTGTGGGCTGTAAACCCCTCACAAGAAATAAAGCTCTCTCCTTTTCCAAATTATAAACCTTGTTATTTTTTTCAGTTAACAAAGGGAAGATTAGAAGTAGTTATTTATAAAACATTCTAGTCTATCCATGCTGAGTCCAGGCATAGGAAATGCTTTGTCTGACCTATTCATTAATAGGCTCTGCCCTTAACTCAGTAATCTAGTGAAAAAAACAGAAGCTGGCTTGGGAAGCCACCTATTTAGCTGAATTAGTCTCCAAAATATACCTTTCTGGCATTCAGCCAGCTATTTTGAGACTCCTTAGAGATATAATAAAAATTTACATTTATAAAGAAAATTTCTATTTGTAAGAGTTTCTTCCTCTCCCACACCAGGCAGAGGAGGACTAAAATCACAAGAAACATTTTCCATGGAAAAGGCATTGGCTTAAATCTATACAATAAGCTTTACATTTTTTTCTTTTTAATTTCAGAATATTACAGGGGTACAGATGCTTTAGTTACATATATTGCCTTTGCACTGCCCAAGTCAGAGCTACAAGCATGCTCAACCCCCAGATATCATGCACTGTACCCATTAGGTGTGAATTTACCCATCCCGTCCTCTCCCCTCCCACCTGCTCAACGCCCTATGAATGTTATTTCTATAT